GACAGAGGGATAGAGACAGGAGGGAGGCCCCGTGCTACTATGAGTAACATTCTCACCCAGCTGTTGGGAGCTTGTCACAGGGCAGCAAACCAGTCCGTGCCTGAGCAAGCACACCATTCCACAGAGGAGAGGGCACCTTTTTATTTTATTATTTTTTTAAATATATTTTATAAATCATTGATCGCTGGCCTCCTACACGCCCCCTACTAGGGATCGAGCCCGCAACCCGGGCATGTGCCCTGATGGGGAATCCAACCTCGACCTCCTGGTTCATTGGTTGATGCTCAACCACTGAGCCATGCCAGCCAGACAACCTTTTTTATTTTGAACCCCTCAGACTAAAGGAGCTCAGACCTGAGACACGGAGCATAAAAATGAGCAGAAAGTCACTACAGAGCTCCATCCCCCGGGGCTCCAGGAACACGGGGCGGGGTGGGGGGGGGTCATCCAGGGGTAAGTCCACGCCTCCAAGTCACTGCCAACATCACACACAAATCTCGCGTGGCTGGGTTAGAGGACTGCCTCCAGGGCTCCTCGCTCTGGCCGTGGCTATCCTCGTGCTCTACCAGTCCTGACTGCGTCCGAGTTCATTAGGGTCCTGGGTTATGGGCTACACGTGAGGACACAGAGGCCCCAAGAAATTAGGTCAGCTGCCCAAGGTCGAAGGGCTTGGGGGACACAACCTAGCGCCACAGTCCAGCCCTTTATGGCCCTGCTCGGCCACAGCCCACCAGACCTGTCCCCCCCGCACCACCAACGATCAGGGTGGGGAGAGCCCAGTGAGAAGCGAGTCTGAGAAACACGCCAGTACCATTTGGACCCCTTTGCAGCTCAGCTTCCCAGGAAACACCAAGCAGGCCCCAGGGCTGAGCTGAAGAGGCAGTGCTGGGCTGGAGACAGGGACGTGGGAGTCACCGGGAACTGAGGGCAGCCGGTGCCGCAGGGGGGAGTCCAGAAAGTGTCTGGTCTCCTAGGCTCCCGAGACAGAGCCCTGGGAGGCCCCGGACGGGCGGCTATGAAGAAAGCGCGAGAGG